CGGAGGTTTATTGGTTGTAGGTCTTTTCTTTTATCCAAGAGAGAAAGGTATTGGATGAGCACACATATGCACTACTTTATGAAAACTAATATCAAAATCTTCACATCTAGAGTTGCTTTCTGTATGTTTTGTTTCAATCTAGAACACTATAAACAATCATTTCCATGAAGTACCAGTGATGTCATAAGCTCTGACTTCATGTTTACCCAAACAATGATCGTTATGAGGATCTACTGACAAACTTCCTTGAGGCCAAGTGTGCAGAGCCTTTCATTCTCAGGGTTAGGCTATCCTCTGGAACAATGCTTACAGTGTCAAGTTTTCAGTTATGTTCTAATAGTGTCTATTGAGCTGGCAAACACGAAACATGAGGTTTTACATTTGGATATCCTATGCTTTTCCATTAGCAAACCAAAGAACAGCTTCATTCAGTGCATTTCCTAATCAATTTAGCAAGCTGACTGTCTGAGCCAAGCAAGGTCTTCGTCTTTGTCATCTCCTTACCTGTAAAAGGTTAGTAAAAATTAACCTCCCCATTCAAAAGTTTAAAAATTCGAAGCCTTTGATGGCAAAGCTTTGTCCATTGTTTCTTTATATTTCCACTGTGTGAACAACTAAAACCAAAATTCCTGGTAATGTTCAGGACTGTTCCTTTAGAAGAGGTGAACACCCTCCAGCTTACCTCACTTTTGGGAGGGGCTATTTATTTTGCCTCTATAATAGTTTCAGGTGGACTTTGCAATGCAGGTGGAATAACACCAAGCCTGAGAACAAAGGCTTTTGTTTGACTAGTCCTGGGCTCATGCAGGTGGAAGTACACAGCCTGTGCTTCATTTGGCAGTAACCTGTCCATACTGTACAGTGTGAATGCTGAACAATGGCTGTTCTAATAAAACAGATTCTGATTTTTTTTTTTCTTTTCTTTTTTTTTGCACCATTTAATAGAACAACTTTTTTGCATATGGGTGGTTCCATTTTGGTGATAACAAGCCAAGTTACTCAATGAAATTCAATGTTGTTCAGTGATTAAGGCACCAAGCATGCACCTGTTGCTAACTGGAAAGCTGACATAGCACAGAGAAAGCCAGCGGTTTGGACCCATTTCACACCATCTATGCCAACAGCTTTTCATTGCAAACATTTGTGACTTCATGATAAACTGTGAGCACGTGAGTTGAACTTCTTTCCTGTTATGTTTCTGTAACACTTTTATTTTGATTACAAGTAACAAAATATATCGTTACCATTTTTAATATCTTCACATTGTGACACTGCACATGTGATGCATATATGTATGATTAAGTGCACCTACAGGAGAAAGGCAAAAAGAGACCATATGACAGCAGAGTGCAGTAAACACTGAGCCGAAATAAGGCAAGAGCAAAGGAAATAATGGAAATTGATTTTTCATGTCTGTCGGTCAAGATGACATTTATCATTTCACTAAAATACCTTTTGGCAACACCTCACCTCACCTCACTCACACACACACACACATAGACCAGAGCAATATAGTAACATGGCTGATGTTCCTTATTAAGTAGTCAGAAATTTTAAATAAATCTTTAGTGTGTAAACTGATGGGGAAAACCCTGCTTCATTCATTTTGTTTTACAAAGTCTGATGTTGTCTTACACATCATTACTAGTTTGTTCCTCATAGTGAGGAATACTTCATATGAATTTGAGCTGATTAGACGAAGCAATCACAGCACATACGCATTGTACTAAAGTTCAGGACTCAGTGGATACAATGTCAGCAGTTTTATAAATACAAATTATCGTGAAACCAGCCAAACAGGTGAAACCGCCTTCCTCATACTCCCCCTCCCCAAACACAGTACTTACTCACTCTTGAAACCAGACCGTTGACTCAAAGGGCTTACTAACATACTGACTGCTGAGACACACCTTAGTCAGGTTAGATGTCGCCGTCATTATGCAACATTAGCTGCAACTAGTACTCACCTGGCTGCACATGCAGGTTAGCAAGAAATTCCCCAGTTTCTCTAATACTGCTGACATCATGCGGGAAACTGCTAATCCATTTCTACCCAATTTTCTTCCGTGTGGACTTGTCTTAATAACTGAATGGCTTCAGGCTGCTGCAATTAGGTTTACTGTAGCTTTAAGAGTGAAAACAAGCTAACCGATGGCAAAAACTACCAATTACATACAAAATCTGACTGGTGTGGTTATAGTCATTTTTTAAAATTTAATAAAGAAGGCAAGTTACTGATGTGAGACGGTCATTTCAATCAGTCCACCTTGTATTACATTTTTTACAACTCGACGACTTGCCGAAAGTTAAAGCGTCTGTCATCGCAAGACTCCATTCTTGCGATTGTAATCGGTATGAAATTTTTGAGAAAAATATACACAAAACTGATTTTTGAGGCAACGCTCATATGCCTGCTTTGCTTGGTTTACTTCAGATGGTTAGAAAGCTAACCATAGAAAAACTGGCAAATGACATATTCTGGCTCTACACACAACTTGAGCTAGCTTCAGCTGAAGTGTGTACATACTGAAGAGTAAACAGCATGGAATAAACTGTTAGCCGGACGGTTCACAACAACTATGGGCACAAGGTCTGAGAGCGTGCGGTCCGACTTCCTAACCCACCTGATTCCAAACGGCCGTTGCTCAGCAGAGGTGCACCGTTTACAGCCGTTGAAAGAAATTCCAAATCCGACCAGTTCCCGGTGTATTAGTTACAAAGAGATATCTCTCCCCTTCCAGAGTCGAGGAAGACGTAGGCACGCCGTGAATAAGTATTCCCGGAATCCAGGCGACAGGCTTCTGGTTGAGTAACTATCACATCTAAAGATCTATAAGGAACTAAAACTGGGTTGGCTGGTTTTTGTTTTCCACCGCTGCGGTGGTTAGCCTCAGTATTTCCTGCTAGGCTAAACCTCACTGCTGTGCTAACTCCGCCCTCATGACACATTCAAGCACACCTCGTAAACGTGTGCTGACGTCCGGTCAGTGGTTTGCTTTGAAATTTGGTTGAAAACGACGAACCAAGAGCGGCATATCTAGCCGCATATAGGCTGGTAATTGATAAAGTTCCTGGGGAAAATCTGGTGTTGTTAGAAGAGACAGCATCTATCCCACTTTGGAAGGAGCAACATTCATTTCTAGAAACTGGCTAAACCCTTCAAAACGTGACTATCGAGGAAGCAGAGTTTATTTGTTATCCACCTACCACCTGACCTTTACTTTGAGTTTCTATCGGATCTGTGCATATGTACATGGTGAAAACTATATCATCAACACTATTATTAGACTCAACTGGTTTCTCTCAAAATGTAAATGAGCCCACCTACCACTTTAATCACACTCTTGTAGTGACATGTGGCATAGGATTACAAATTTAACTGTAATCCTTTAAAACTCCTGTTTGTCTGATTGTTTCCTAACTAGAAAACACCACTGAGTGGAAACAAACTGTGGATAGCAATACTATCAGACAAATACCACTGTTAAAAGTTACACAAAGACTTTTACACAGCACTGAATGTTTTACCATAAACACTGTTCAGATATATCATATCAGCCTGTCAGTTTTTGCATTTACCATACCAATGAAGAAGACTCAGAACAGAATTAAGAGGTTCTAGATCTTAATTCTCAATGAGGAGAGAGACCTCTTTGTAACCGATACACTGGAAACTGGTCAGATTTGGATGGTGTTTTTAGGGAAGATGTTCTTTGGGTCATACTCAGCATTTGGTGGCGATCGTGGCTCAAGAGTTGGGAGTTCGCCTTGTAATAGGAAAGTTGCCCGTTTGAGCCCTGGCTCGGACAGTCTCTGTCGTTGTGTCCTTGGCCAAGACACTTCACCCGTTGCCTACTGGTGGTGGTCAGAGGGCCCGGTGGCAGCCTCGCCTCTGTCAGTGCGCCCCAGGGTGTCTGTGGCTACAATGTAGCTTGCCATCACCAGTGTGTGAATGTGTGTGTAAATGGGTGGATGACTGGATGTGTAAAGCGCTTTGGGGGTCCTTAGGGACTAGTAAAGCGCTATACAAATACAGGCCATTTGTCATCCTAAAAACATGGCAGGTCAGGTTGAGGCCAAACAGCTTGATTTTGGTTTCATCTGACCACTTGGGAGTGCTTTCTCTCAAGCCTTCTCTGAACTATGTCAGTGTTCACTGGCAAACTTAGATGGGCCCTACATGTCCCTTATCCTGAGCAAGGAGACCTTGCAGACACTGCAAAATTTCAATTCATTATGGTGTAGTGTGTTACTAATAGTGTTCT